AGTTCATAAAAAGAGCAAAATATACGTGAAATGTAAATGCTGCAGAAGAAAGTTTAGAAAGCAAAGATATTCTGTAATGGAGAAAGTTATTTAATATGGATGGTTACTTAATTGTGCTTAGCAGCAATGAAAAGAAAGAAAATTAAATGAACATGCATTACCTAACATACATGTATCACAGTTTGTAAGATGTTTGTTCAGTTATTATATTTTTAAATGAATGTTACATTCCTGATAATTAAAAAAATATATTTTTGTTAGTTTTTGGAATGTAAATCCTTTATTTTTATTGGTTTGTAATCTTGTATGACATCATTTCACACTTGTTTTACATGTATATATTTTTTATCTCAAATTAATAAGAAAGTCAGGTACTTTTTAGTATTGAAATATAGACAGTAATTGCTAATTAAAGTTTTCATCCTTACTTCAGAATTTTACACTTGTCAAACTGTGGTTTTCTCGTTATGGTGCATAGCAAGCAGAGATACTTCATATCTTTTATTATTCCTAATTATTTTTTAAAATTAAATTTTTATTAAAATTTTATATTAGTATGTTATGATAATTCATTATTACACAATTTTTTACAAACTTCAAAAATCTAAATGTTACACTTGCATAATTTATAAAAATAGTGATAAGAAAGAAAATAATGGTATATGATCAGATTAAAATTAAATCAAATAATTTTTAATATTATATAATCATTATTATTTAAATGCATGATGGTTGTGTGCATGTGTGTGTATATATATATATATAATACACTTGACTAGATTCTATAATCTATCAGGAGTCAGAAGCTAGTGACCTAAGACTCATCACTCGTAGGGAAATTTTTATTTATAAATAAGTTATATATATGAGTCTTAGGTCACTAGCTTCTGACTCCTGATAGATTATAGAATCTAGTCAAGTGTATTTGAAGTTTTTGAAAGTTTTTCAATAAGCATAAAAGAATATTTTTAAGGATACAATTTTGCTTTTTAATTAAAATTTATATATATATATATATATATATGTTATGGACTAAGTGATTAATATGGGCATTATGAATGATGACAAACAAAATTGAGCACTGTAATAAATTTCAGGTTTCATAATTTATCAGATTGACCGGTCACTATGAATACTACTATCATCTGGTTGGGCAAAGTGATGTTGAATGATCATTCCTGAAAGTATTATCATGTGCTAGCCAATCAGCATTTGTGTCTGAGTTACACATTTGTATTGCATTTATTATTGAATTTTAAATTCATGTGGCCAGTAGGTAAACTTGTGCAACATTTTAATTTTATATTTGGCTCTTAAAGTAGTGTTTTCTTATTTGAAAAATAACAATTGTGCATCAATCATTAAGTGATTTGAGTAACCTCTTCAATAACTGATTGATGACATTTGCTAATATTAACTCTTTTAAAGTCTTAATTACTTAAATATTTCTTTAGTTTATCTATTCAACTTTTTATATGTTATACCAAAAATGACATTCCAGAAGTTTCCTTTTTAAGTTGATTTTTGATGATTGAAGTATAAATTTGTTAATAGACTTCTTGTTAACATTAGTTTAATTAATACAGTTAATAATATTTTTAAAAAATCAAAATACTTTGGAAGAATTCACAAAAAATAAATAATTCTTAATGAAAAAGTGGAGGTTTTTTGTTTTTTTTTTTTAAATCAAATTGCCCAAAGGGAATGTAGCTGTATTCATAATGTCTAGTCAATTTAATAAATTAATCAAAATTTATCAAGTATGGCCATTTCAGTTATTATTCTGGGTAATTATTTTAGATGGCTGAGCATTATAAAAAATGCTTTATTAATCACTTGGCCAATAATATAATACATTGGTTTTCATTACAAAAAATTAAGATGGTAATCATATTCAGCCCATTGTGTGTTTTTGCTATTTATTAATGAAGATTAATTAGAAACTTAACTAGGACATTATACAACTTTGTTATATCACAATAAAATTGAGGCAAAGTGAAAAGAAAGAGGCAATCCTTGTACTGTACCTGATGTATGTATATGTGGACAGGTGAATTTGCACTTTATGTCAGGAAAAGGGCTATCCTTCTACCTGTCAGCCATGGGAGACATGATCCTTGCACTTGTTGACACAAAGGCAAACTTGTGTTTTTTTTTCTTCATACCTATTTTCCATTAGGTGTAGGTAATACTGTTTTTTTTTTTTTTTTTGTTTTTGTTTTTCACTTCTAGGCCTAAATTCCATTAGGCATCCCTAGTCATATCAGAGAGCATGGATATTTCCACATTCATACCTCTGTATATCAAAAATGAAGTCATGGACTCCCATTACATTTTTTGGATTTTTCATTGTCATTTTCCATTAATTGCAAAGTTTAATCAAAATCGATCAGATTTTGAGAACAAATGCAATTCTGTAAGCTATATAGAAGAGTCTGTACTAACACACTTTCTGAATTAATTAATTAATAATTAAGTTTTTTTAAACATGTTGATTAGAAAATTATTATTATATATATAGGTGGCCCATAAACATAACTTCTATGGTTCTAAACTTATCTTTACTTATGTTTTTTTACATGTAAATCATTGTGCTGAGTAAGGAAGCATGATTTCAAGTTATTTTGATGATGGGAACTTGCAATCAGCATGATGTCTATATGCAGCCAGTTTAACAGGCTGTATATATACTTCCCTGCCATTCAGACAGCAGTCTGGATGCAAAATATTAAACTCTTTAGTAGCTTCTCATTGACTATGGTTCTCCACCATCAAAATAACTTGAATTCATTTCTCCTTACTTAGCATAATATTTTACCTACAAAAGAAGAAGAAAAGAGAAACATAATGCCTATGATTCCAGACTTTTGTAATATCCTGTATATAAGGTTCTACATTTTATTGTTAAGAAAAAATATATTAGTGGTTATATTATTGGGTTGTTCGGAAAGTAAGTTCGTTTTTTCCGTAAAAAAAACACAATATTTTTATAATAAATAAATATTTTGTTGAATTATTTATCGACCATTTTGGTCAAATATTTGTCATCGTTTCTGGTAGTAGCATGATTTCACATTCATAAAAGTTTTGATCGTTGCTTACAAAAAACTGATCCAAGTGATTTTTAACATTGTCATTTCAAGTAAATGTCTTACAGTTAAAAAAAATTT